GAACCCGCCGGATCTTGGGCCCCCGAGTGCAGACTTTTTTCGTTTGTGACAGCGAACGCGTTCTGGGGGCTTGCCACGCGCCCCTGAAACACGCTGCCCTCCAGCCTCACCGCCTCGACACGGTCTGTCTGGTAGCGTTCTCTGCGGTCTTTGTTTTCCTGCCCACCCACGGCTCTACCAAAATCTGAAGTGGGGTTTGTTTTGGGAGGGGTTTTTTTTACGTTTCGTAAGAGCACAGGATGCTCCTGGTCTAGTGTGGTGTGGTTGAAGGAGAGCATCCGAACCGCAGCATCAAAGTTACCTCAGTGCTGCCATCCAGTGCTGCAAGGCCTTCAAAGATGGTTCACCTTAAATCAGCTCCTGATCAGACAGTCCGTGCTGTCTTGTGTGGGACTGACAGACACACGTCTCCCTCCCTCTGGCCTCTGTGGTGCCTTAGGTGATGTTGCTGCAAATCCACCCTGTGCAAGGAGTTTGCTCCGAGAGTGCATGTTTACACTGGAGCCTAGGGATGGGTTCACTTTTAATGTGTCTGTTCTTGTACACTCTCACCAGCACACAGGTGGAAGAAGCTGGTCTCCAGAGAGCACCCAGCTTGCCCTGTCAAGAGGGATCCGATGGGCTGGACCCTGGCATCCCCTCCCTGCACCTGAGGTCTAGGATGCGACCCAGCAGTGGACTCCAGAACTTGCATCACAACTGCGTGCTGTTCGCGCCCCACTGACAGGGTGTCCTGGCTCCTGCTGCACTGGCAATGGATGCAACTGGACCAGTCCTGCTTCAATGCCAGCACCTGCCACAGCAGCCAGGAAGAAGGTACAAAAAAATCTGTTCTTGAGCACTAGACACCTGATACCTGCCTGGGGACATGGCTTTTCTGCCTCTTGCTGCAGAAGCAAGTCAGTCAACAACAGAGTAGTAAGCTCTGATGGTTTGTTTTTTTTCCTTTGTCACATCCTTGCCTCGCCAAGATAACTCCCTCCCTCCTCGCACTCTGCAGCGCTCGCTGACTGCTGCCAAGCGTGCACTGCAGAAGTTCCAAGCAACCTGCCCAGCAGTGATGCAGAGCCTTGCCTGCTGGTTTCACAGCTGGGCAGGCAAAAGCAACAGCTTGGAATGGTATGGGCTCCTGTCACTCGCCCAGCTAACACGTTCTCTGCTCAGCCTCTGACCTGTGGGCTGAGACATTGTTAGGGAACAGATGAACCTTCTCCTGCAGCTGAATCCTCTGCATCATGAGAACATTGCACGAGGTGACAGCTCACATGGAGGATTTTGTGTGGAAGTTCTAGCAGGTGCCACATGTCAAAATGCCTCTCTGCAACTTGAGATGTGTGCAGCTGGAGCAAAACCTTGCCTTACTGAAGCAAAGTAGATCGCTCAGTTTTCTCCTCCCCCCCTTCTAAGTGCGAGTCCTTGTATCACAATGCTTATAAGTTCCACGTGCAGTTCTTGGGAAGCTACCTGTGGCAGCACCTGAAAAAACAAGCCTGGTTTGAAAACACACAGTATGGGTTTCAGAAGCAGGGAGCCAGAGGAATCACAGGCCAAACAGAGACCTCACGAGATCTGCAAAAGAGAGAGAGAGAGAGGAAGCTGTGATAGGTACTCAGATGCAATGACTGCTTGGGTGCTGATGCTGCAGCCTCAGTCCTGATCCATATCAAACCGATGGGTATGGCGTTGCCAAGTAACACGAGGAGGTGGAGGCTCCGTGGCTTAATGTAGCCTGATTTGTCTCTCTTGGTATGTTGGTTTGACAAAAGAAGGGTGTTTGGTTGGTCTGGTGACCAAGCCCTGCTTGTGCGGGTATCTCCACAAGCATCGTTGATGGGTGTCATCTGCTAGACCTAGTGTCCTGCTGTGCTGGTGAATGCCTGCTGGCTTGGGTGTCAGCCTGTGTCCCTCCCGCCGTGGGAATATTGTGAAGTCTGACTCGCTCTGCGGTTTGCGTAGCTCCTGCCCTCTGAAACGTACCTGGTTCACTCATGCTTTGGCACACCAAGTCGAGAGCCTCTTTGGGCAGGGCCTGCATTTCCTCCTGAAACCTCCTGTGTCCTTCTGGAGTCAGCTTCCACAGGCAGGACTTGCGATTTCCCTTGCCACATGTGAAGCCAGTGGTTTTCTCAAAGCAGCTGCTGAAGCACAGGTTGTGTGGGATGGTGTTTTTCCAACCCTCTGGGGCCGTCTGAAAAAATGGGAAGTGCTGCCTGCAGAGAGAAGAGGTTTGTCCTGAGCTGAAGTGCCTAGAGGCTGTGATAAAAACCAGTACACACTGTATGTGAACAAGGGAAGGAGGAGAGGGCCCTCCCTCACCTCTGTGGTGTAAGGATGGCTGGTGCAGTTGAGCACTGGATTTTTCTGAGGAGGCTAAGACAAAACTAAAATGTTGCCTGTCAAGCTCCTGGGTTTGGGTGTTGGCAAAGAGAGGCAACATTTTTCTCAGCAGCATCTTGAGCCAAAGGCAGAGCTAAGACCTGAACGCAAGTCCTAGCTGCTATGTCCCTGCTTCCTAGTAGAAGATCAGAGACTTTTGTACCCCCTCCTTGTCCTTCTTCCCCTCATTCTGCACTAGGAGCTAGGAGAAGAGCAGGTACCATGTGAACTGGTAGATCTGCTGCACGGTCAGACTGCCACTTGCACTGTTGCACAGGGCGAAGGTGATGAGGATGGAGTAATTAAGAGGGGGACGAGGCCAGCCTCCCTTGATTTTGGTGCTCGTCTGCCTGAGGCACTTGAGCTTTGTGCTCTGAGGTCTGAGGACCGCAGGTTTCCAAGACTTCGGCATCACCTTGCATTTGGGAGTTTCTGTCATCTCCTGAGGAACTGGGATGTCTGCAGACGAAGCATGTTCATCCTCAGTGAGCTGGGGAGAGGAAGGAGAAAAAGGACAGAGATATGTTAACTCTGGGTGGAAGGAGGGACAGGGACAATCTGTGTTCTGGGGGAAGATGGGTCTGGCAGAGTGCATATAGAAAGCTTATATACTTGACATTTCAGCTTCCATTCCTGGACTTTGGGCTCTCAGCCTGGTCGTCAGATGAACTCTGTGGATTGCCTGACCCCTGCTGAGACAGGAGGCAGTTGCTTGCAGAGCTGCTGAGCCAGCTCAGGTGTTCCTTTGGGATCGTTAAGCACGTACCATGCCCAGGCCTGCCCAGGCTGGTCCCCTTTTTGTACCTTTCCAGCCTCGCTGGGGGATGACAGCACACCCTCCTCAGAGCAGTCCAGGTCAGAGTAGTCCCAGGATGTGTTCGGAGAGGAGGGTTCTGTGGCACCAGCAACTGAAACAACCGGGCTGTCAGATCTGTCCGGGCCTCTGCCAGGGCTCCAGGGGATGGGGCAGACCAGGCTGGGGTTTACCCACAGCCACAGATGGGGCTGGACGCTGGGTTCTGTGGAGAAGAAGGAACATCACCCTGCCAGTCCTACCCAAGGACTCTCTCTAGACTCTGCTGTCTAGAGTCAGCCTGGGGAAGCTGTAATGCAGCACAGATCCCAGAGCAAAGGTCCTCAGTAGTTGCCTTCTTAGTCCTCTAAACTGTTTTATTTTCTGTTTTGCATACAGTGTGCACTTCCATGTGTATGCGCACTGCTGCGGGCAGCCTGGACAGAGGTCCTCTGCACTGAAATTTTACTTTCTTTCTCCCCTGCAAAGTCAGAAGACTGTCAATTACTCCCTTCAGTCCTCCTCTCCCAAGTTTGTCTACCCAAAAGGCTGGGTGTGGACAGCAGTGCGTCTGCAGGCACAGCTATGTAATTATAGCCTTATCCTCGTCTTTGGGAGACAGGCTTCAACCTTTTCTAAACAAGCTTTGAAAAATTCCACTTTGGACACAGACATTCTGGCTGGCAAAAGGAAATGGCCATTCCCAGGCCATTCCCCAAAACATCGCCAGTCTCACCAGGTTCCAAGTTTATGCCTGGCATCAGGCAGCGCCCGTGGCAGCAAGGCCTCGTGTGCCAGGGCTCAGTGTGCCACCTCAGCCTGCAGTGGGGCAGAATCTCAGGAGGTGGTAGATGCGGGCAGCCCAGAGATGCTGTGGCAAGCTTCTATGTTTTTGGCATTAGCCTCAGGTTTTGGTGTTCGTTCCGTTTTCTGTAAGCCGCATTCTTACTTTATAAGTAATTGCAGACACTTCTAACTTGATCTGTTTGCATTTAAACATAAAGAAAATGGGCTTTTTGTTAACTTCTAGACTGGAACTTACTATTTACCAGATTTTACAATTTTCACCTGAGTTTTGGAGACGGTAATCTTTTTAAAAGGAAACCAAGCCAATCACCCCCCTGAGGCCCTTACCTTGCAGAGGGTCTTCAGTAGTGATGGTGAATTTGAGCTCCTCTGCCATATCCCAGTCCTCAAGGCCATTTCTTAAGTGCAGGCTTTCCCAAAATGACTTGTTTTGAAAACTCAGGTACATTTTATTTGTGTGGCAAAGTAATCTCTGCGTGCTGAGCGCAGCAGGATCTGTGAGAGTGGCACAAAGAATCCCACGAGGTTGAAGTGCTCTGTGTGTCGAGAGACTTGATTTCATCTTTTTTTTTTTTTTTTTTCTGTAAAAAGGATATCACACAGGTGAGTGACAGGCTTGTTTCTGTTTCACACTTCTAAATACCTATTAAAGCCCCTTCCAGTGAGAAATTGGTCCATATTGGTGGAGAAAGCAAGCTGATTGAGAATAAGATAGGCTCTGTTTTCTTCCTGTTTACTTCATTAGGGCCTTAGTAAATGAGCCATTCCTGTATTCATTAGGCGCTTTTTTTTTCTTTTCTGCTTCTAATAACATTACGGTGATAAATGCACTTTATCATGGACTTCCCTGCTCTGAGGACCCAAATGATTCTGGAAGCAGGATGGATCTCTGAGGGATGCGCAGAGTGCTCAGGATGCGTTTGCAGGTAGCGGGGAGCTCCCTTGCCCTGCTTGTCTGGCAGTAGCTGGTTTTAAGACTTGAAACTGCTTTAGGTCAGCCCAGGAAAAACAGTGAAGGCGTACCAGAATCAGGAAGAAGGGAGCCAGGTTAAGCAGATACTGGGCGTGCTTTCGCAGGGTATCCCATAGAAACTTTTTGTGTACCTTGAAGACACAATCTAAATTCTGTGCCTTCCTGAATTGCTTTTGTTCCTTTGACTGTATCTTTCCCTGCCTAATCTGTCCCAGGTATTATGAAGGAAGAAATGTGGTTCGTGCTATTAAAGAGTGGTTGTAATACATCCTCACCCTATTCACCCGCTCACTATTGCTCTTCTGCTCAGGGGACAGGGGAAGTAGGTGGCATGGGTGGAAACAAAGTAGCTACAAATCAAAATCCAAGCCTTGGCTTAGTACCAGCAGGCAATTAGTTTTCAGACTCTCTCCATATGTTTATAGGAGGAGATGGGTGACACTCGTAGGGGAGGAGTACTTCAAAGACTTGCTTGTCTGTAGCCAGCAGGCGGCCTGAAAGAGGCTGGTTTTGGCAGCTGCCAGAAAAGTTTGCACCATAATGTCAGCGTTGCAATGTTGGGAGAATCTCAGTTGAAAAGTGAATTCTGTGACCCTTCCTCCAAAGGTTTGGCTTTGTTTGGGTTTCTTCTGCGTGGTGAAAGAAAAGGGTAAGGTGCTTTTCCCAGTGGCAGGTTTGCCCTGCAGCGTTCTGGGACAAGTGTTCCTGCACTGTTTGTTGTCACTAATCTCACTCTTTTGTGCGTTTGTGTCTTTTGGGATGGGCTGTTGGACAATAAACCAAACGCCAAACAAAGGATTCCTTGAAAATGTAACCTTCAAAGGGTAGAGAAGAGTCTGGCATGCTCTGTTTCGCCTCTTCACTAAAAAGCAGGTGTGGTAGTTTGTACTCCAATAAGGTTTGTTTAGTTCTTGTTAGACATTTGAAAAATACCAAGTCAGTTTGGCTTTGCTTTAGCTAGATGCAAGAGGCTACGGTCACCTAGCTTTTTCCACCCCTGTGTGACAAAGTTCGTTTGTTAGTGGAGACAACAACGTGCCCCCTCTCAGATTCCTCAGGTGTGAGCAGGACCTGCTGGGTTGGCTGCTTTCCTCAAAAAAGACTGAGCACACCCCAATCAAAACCCTTTTCCCTTCCTGAAACTGGAGCCTGGTATTTGACTTGGGACATGTTGCAAACAATCCAGCTACTATAGTTTAATGATTTACCACATATCACTCGACCTGTCTCACCACGAAGTTGCTTTCCCCTTTCTATCTGGAGTGAAACTCACGCAGTGCCGTAGGCATCAGCTGGGGCATAGTAACTCATTAAGCCTGTGATTACCTACATACCCTCGACTGATGCCTCACCTACCCACGTAACCTTCAGTACTTAAACAATAAACTCCCACAAGAGTTCTGGGCTGGATGCAGTTATGTCAATAACCTTAGAACAGTGTGAGTATTTTGAGGGGGTAGCAGAAGCTAGGTAGACCTCACATGCAGGTGAAGTGTCTTGACCTGCTTGCTCTTCAGCCAGGCATGGCTTTTGAAAAGCAAGTGGGGCTACATGCGGGGCATTGATGTGACTGAGAAAAAGAAGAATATTTGGGGATGGCCCTGTCCATGGGCAGGATGCCATTCTCGGTGCCACTTTCCAGGAGCTGCCCTGGGAAAAGCAGCCTGGCAGAGGATAAGACACTGGTGTGTGTGGCTTGGCCACAAGAGGCCGTGTGAGCTGGCGTTTTGCAGGAGCAACAGAACTCACCTGTAGCTGGTTCAGAGCCGGTGCCCTGGAGCGAGGTGGGGGCTCTCCAGCCAAAGCTACTACAGAGCACTAAAGGAGATGAGAAACAGCTGCAGACTTTCCAGGGCTGCCGGCAGCAGCTGCCTGCAGCTGATTAGAGATTCCTTTCTCCCATCTTCCCCCAGGTTTCTGTCTCCTCAGAGAAGGCTGTATTGGTCTGTGAAAGTGGTAAGTAACATAAGGGAAGGGGAGGGAGAGAATTTAGCCTAATATAATGTAGTGCTCCACCCAGAGAAGCCCTGAACAGTTGTACTTGGACCCTCCCCAAAAAAAGGTGTGAGAAGAGCTTGCTAATGTTTCCTGCCTCTGCTGCAGGGATGGAAGGCATTCCCTCATGTGATAACGTTTACTTTGTACTGGTGGAGGTTTGAGGCACTGCTGCAACGCAGGCAGGTGAAGCAGGGAAAGGAGCCCTGTGGTCTGCCCAATCTGCAATGCAGCCAGCAGAACTGGAAATGGAGCTGTTGGTTGCTAGCTTAAAGCCTGAGAATGTTTTCAATATATATGGTTACAATCACAGACCTTATGTCTAGGAAAAGGCTGAAAGGCCTTTGTTTTGCCTTTGGCCATTCAGTTGCTGAATACCAACCCCATCGTTTTGTATACTGTGTGTTCTGAGGGAAAAGCCTTGAGCTCTGTCCTGCTGCCCCTGCTTTCCCAGGTGTGGGGTGTTGTGATTAGACTGAGAGCCAATGGGTGGCAAATACAAATCTAAAACTGCTGATTCCTTTTGCCCTGTGGATTAACCAGAAGCTCATGCTTGTATACTAAAGCTATCTCATTTTTTGGTCCCCCCTCTAGCTACAGAAGGTGAAAGAGAGGTTAGAAGAGAACCTCCTGGCACATGCAGGAGACCCAAGTAGCTACCATCTCTATCTGCAGCATGAACGGAGCTGAAAACGTAGAGAGGTGACAAGCTGGAGGTGTCTTGGCTCAGGACGTCCAGAATCTTCAAAGCCATCTCTTTTCAGGTGAGCGTTACCTGCGCGGAATCCGGTCAATGGGATATTCTACTGAAAACTAGTCTCGCCTGCTCCCACACATCTCATAGCCACAAGAACTACTAACTATTTGTTAGGATGTGGATTGCTGGTGCGGAGCAAATGCAGTGCTCTTTCCTTGCTGATTCTCATCTCCTTGCATTTTAGAATGAGACTTCTTTGCAGATCAAGAGAAAAGACTTTGGATTTGAGATGTAGCTGCAAGCATACTCAGTTGATTCTCGGGGTGTCTGACTTTTGCATGTGCCTTTCTGTGTATGTGTTTAAGGCATAGGGAGATGACTTTGGCCAGGCTTGTGTCTTCATGTGAACGTGCTCTGTGAAGTCTTCTCGGCGAGACAGAGAAAGCAGATTTGCTCCTGTTGCTGAAAGATGTCAGATCTAAGTGCTCCCTCTCCCTCGTAAAGGTAGTGGAGCTCTCTGACTTGGCTTCAGAGCTGTTACTCAGATCTGGCTCAGATGGTTTGTGTTCCACAGCCCCTGAAAGCTCTGAATTTGTGCAGCGTGACATTTGTCCATCCAAGGTCACGCAAGGGTGTTGTCTCTGTCTTGACTTTGCCCAGCTAATGAGCTTTGTATCGAAGCAAGCTCAGTGGACTTGGTGGACATTCTGGCCTTGTGGATACTGGTCATGCCAGTGACCTGTGGGGAGTTATTGGTTTGTTTTGGTTTTTTCCTGTGGTAGAACAGGGATTAATTTCCAATGAAGTAATTGTACTTTTCCCTGTCTCCCTAGTAAGGGGTTGTACGGAAGGTGCCTGACTTGTCCTTACACAGTGCCACTCGTGCTGTGCTGGCATTGCTTCAGTTCCCCATGCTGCAGCAAGTGGCTGATGCTATGACTATAGTATGGAAAGAGCTCCCAGGATTTGCATGGGCCAGGGTTAAAAACAGTGCCTTCTGTTAAAGAGAGGTGTCAGGGGAAGAGGCAATGTGAAGCAGAGAGAAGGTTGTGACAGGTGAGAAGTGGTTGCTCCATCAGCACCAGACCAGGGGTTGAGTCAGGGTGGCCAGTTAATCCTGTGGATGCCTGGTGTGTCTCTGTCACAGGCGCAGGTAGATGCTGCTGATGTTACAGCTGTTGCCTGCTCAGGACATGAAAACACAACAGATATACTTGATGAGCATCACAGCCTTTTGTATTAGCCATATTCTATTCTCTCTGAACAGATAAGCTATTTTCTGGTGGGGGTAAGGTGGCCTCTTACCCCCCACGTCCTCAAATTCTGTGAAGTTGCAGTAAAAGAGCTGAACTTGGGTCTCTGCCCCTCCTCCCTGATTTTTCAAACCACTTCAAAGGTGAGCTGGCGGACGATTGAAGCGACTGGTTCTGCCGGGCTCGCCGCCGCTCACCTTCCGTGCCACTCCCCCGACGGAACAAAGCGCGGCGCTTCCCTTTGATTTCTTCCTTTCAAAGCCATAGGGAACAGAGCCTGAAACACGCCGCAACTTTTTTGGCAACTGTGCGCTGGTACCTTCCTGAAGTGCTGGGTGGATCAGGACAGGGCTCTGGGGAGCAGACCTCACTTGCAGCTAAATTAGCCCGTGGTGCAGGTGGGATGCTTGATCCTCCTGGGTGTTGCAGCCGGCATCTCTCGGGTTTGGAGGGAGGGCGAGGTAGCGTGTGGAGCCGGGGAGGAAAGGGCCACAGAGTGTCTTAGACAGGTGGCTTCAACTGACACATGC